CGGGCGGGCGCGGCGACGAGCTGCCGCCGCCGCCGCAGCACCCGCCGCCGGGGCGGGCGCCGCACCTGGTGCACCACGGCGGCGGCGGCGGAGGGCACCACGCGGCGGCGGCGGCGGCGGCGGCGGCAGCGGCGTGGCGGGCGGGCGGCGCGGCGCACCTGCCGCCCGGCATGGCCGCGGCCAACGGCGCGCAGGCGGGGCTGCTCTACTCGCAGCCGCCCGGCTTCACCGTCAACGGGATGCTGGGCGCCGGGCAGCCGGGGCTGCACCACCACGGCCTGCGCGACGCCCACGAGGAGCCGCCGCCGGGGCCGCCGCACCACGGCCCCGAGCACCCGCCGCCGCCCCACGGCCCCCACCCCGGGGCGGCCGGGCCGGCACCGTCCGCCGCCGCCGCCGCGCCCCCCGGGCCGCCGCCGCACCACGACCCGCACTCGGACGAGGACACGCCGACCTCCGACGACCTGGAGCAGTTCGCCAAGCAGTTCAAGCAGCGGCGCATCAAACTGGGATTTACCCAAGCGGACGTGGGGCTGGCTCTGGGCACCCTCTACGGCAACGTCTTCTCTCAGACCACCATCTGCCGCTTCGAGGCCCTGCAGCTCAGCTTCAAGAACATGTGCAAGCTGAAGCCTTTGTTGAACAAGTGGTTGGAGGAGGCGGACTCCTCCTCGGGCAGCCCCACCAGCATAGACAAGATCGCGGCGCAGGGCCGCAAGCGGAAAAAGCGCACCTCCATCGAGGTGAGCGTCAAGGGCGCGCTGGAGAGCCACTTCCTCAAGTGCCCCAAGCCCTCCGCCCAGGAGATCACCTCGCTCGCGGACAGCCTACAGCTGGAGAAGGAGGTGGTGAGAGTGTGGTTTTGTAACAGGAGACAGAAAGAGAAGCGCATGACTCCCCCGGGAGGGACGCTGCCGGGCGCCGAGGACGTGTACGGGGCCAGCAGGGACACGCCGCCGCACCACGGGGTGCAGACCCCCGTGCAGTGAACTCGCGGCGGGGGCGCCCGGCCCCTCCTCCTCCTCTCCTCCTCCTCCTCCTCCTCCTCCTCTCCTTCCCCCAACTTTTGATTGTCCTCTTTTTTTTTTTTCTTTTTTTTTCTTTTTTTAAAATTTTATTTTCTCCTATCTTTAAAAAAAGACAAAAAAATCAAAAAAAGAAGCAAACGCGAAAAAAAAAAGAACAGCAAAGAAAAAGCGAGCGAGCGAGAGGGCGAGCGCGAATCACAGCGGACAGACAGATAGACAGACAAAGCACCTGCACCACACTGTCCCTTAGACGGTAGGAGGTGTGATGCTGTATTTTGACCTTTCCAGGCGAGTGCCCGTGCACGGGAGTGCGGTGGGTACCGCGCACGGGCAGGCAGGCGGGCACCGGCAGGGCAGCGGCAGGCACCGGCAGGGCAGGCGCAGGGCGAAGCGGTTCGCACAAAACTCCCTCACTCGCTGGCCAAAATATACGGCGCTGCCCTGCCGGGGAGGGGGCGGAGGCGAAGGGGGGGCACAGCCACCTCGAGTCCCCTCCGCAGCCCCCTCCCGCCACACAAAGGCAGATTGCATTGTGGAATGTCGCTCGGTGTTGGCACATGCTGCTGTGTTTATTTTCTGTGGATCCCCTGTATGAATATATGTTAGAAAAAAAAAAAAAAAAAAGGAAGAGAACTGAAAAGCTATCCCTTTTGATGTAGACAGTATTTAACCGTACCAATTTGCACTGCAAGAAAATCGAAGTTTACATAAACAAAATGTTTATTTTTTATTTTTTTTCCCTTCCTTTCCGACCTTAATTTTGCAAATGACTTGCATTTTCCACAGTGAGCGTTAGTCAACCAGTGACCGGTCTACAATATGTTACTGTGTTTTAGCATTTGCTTTATGTGTATATGTGAACTTCTGTTATAAACAAGTATTCTTAAATACGTGTAACGCTTATTTTCTCCGTTTACCATAGCAAAAAGAATTGGTATATGTGTGTGTATGTATACATATGCATGCGTGCACAGACATACATACATACACATATATATAATCTCTCTATATACACATATATATGCACCTCCAGCTTCCACTCTCCAGAGATGTGACTCTCATAACTGTTTAATATATGCCTTCAATGGCAAGAGTCAAGTTTGGAGAAGGGAGAATAATGCAAATTAACAAAGTAAACTTCATTTTCAGGCAGTGTGTCCGGGGGTCAAGGCGCAACCAAAGGGGGAGGAAAAAAAATATGTGCAGCCCTTCCAGACTGTGTCAGTGCGGGCAAGCAAGGCCTGGTGTGGGGAAGGCGGAGAGGGAACAACATGTTTCCAGAGTTTTCCCAGAGAAAGTGGCATTTTCTTGAGAGGGAAAGGGGATTATTTAGCTCCCCCACCACCGCCCCCTCAGCGCCCTTTCCTTCCCCTCCTCCCCCCGCGGCTCCCTTGCATGCCTTTGGCATCCCCGGTCTCATCGCCCGGGCCAATATCAGCCTCCAAACTTTCTTTTGTTGAGCAGTTTTACGTCAAGGCAGAGCCAGGGAGAGCCTGAGGAGCTGCTGGGCCCGAGGTGGGGGTCGGGTGCTTACACCTGCCTGTAAACACATGCTGCCCCCTCCTCTCCACAGAGACCGTGTGCATTTCTTTTTTACTTTACTTTCAGTATTTATTTTATTTTATTTTCTATTTCTATCCAGCCCCTCTCCCTCCCCATCCTCCCCTTGTCCTTTGGTCAGATTGTGGTATAATTTATTGAAGGAAAGGACCACTTTTAACTTGGGCAGCCTTGTGTCTTTCACTGGGGAATGAAATGATGTGGGAAAAAAATGCCATTTTTCAATCCGTGTTCCCCCCACCCCCTTCGCTAATAGTTTTAAAGTGCATTTCGTGACATTATCTTGATGAGAAATGGTTAACTTTCCAAAATAAAAAAAAGAGAAAAACCCATGGGGACAAAAAGGAAAAAAAAAAGGAAAAAAAGAAAACAAAAAAGCTCTGAAGGGAAGCAGAGGAGCGGGACCTCGGAGCAGCGCATGTATGTGCGTGTGTCTGCGTGCGTGTTTGTGTACTTATGCACACACACACAGCTATGCATATACATTAGAGGAACTTTATGATAGTTATAAATTCATAAAGGGATCATTTAGTCAGCACAAATGGGTGCTATAGAGACAAAGCATTTTTATAATCTAAAAGTTTACTTAGTTGAGTGTTGGACAATTATGGAGAAAAAACAGTGAAGCATTCTCTCGCAGAACTCTCCTATAAATATTGCATTCAGTAGCTAAGGCTTTAGAATATGTTTCTCATTGTCTTTTAAAATGCCTGTGACACTGGGTTTTCTTTCCTTCTTTCTTTCTCCCTTTCTTTCTTTCTTACTTTCTTTCTTCTTGGTAAGACAGATGATGATTTCTAAGAGGCACATGCATTAGCCTTTTTCCTGGTTTTCCAACAATTGTTAAAAAGATACGGGCACCAAGCTTTTCTCTTTTCTTTCTTTTTTTTTTTCTTTTTTTTTTTTTTGTTTTTTGTTTGTTTGTTTGTTTATGTGTTGAGCTGCTTGTTATTTAAAGTGTTGAGGACTAGCGCCTAGTGAAGTGAATCAGATCAGGGCAGATCCAGTGGTAAAGGGAGGAAATGAACTTTCAGACACTTATTAATATGTGCGTAAGGTCAGACAACGGAGTCGAGAGGATGTTTGAGAAAGCCTCAAACTCCAAATAGGTTTACTAAAAAAAAAAGTTACCACGCAAACCTTACCACTATGTATATATGTTTAATATTTGTCCTTTGAAATGCAGAAATAGTTTCAATGTTTTCTTTGTCTATTTTTCTTTTTTTTTTTTAAATGCTACCCAGGGAAATATTTTCATATCATTTTTAAGTGGCCTGCCTCAATGTATATTTATTTCTTTTAAAGCAAACAGGTTCTGGAAACTGTTTTTCTGTAGCTTTAAATGAGTAGGTGAACAAAATCTATATGGGATGTAATTTTTTTTTTGTTCAGTCTCTTTAAAAATACTTTGTTTTGGTACATTTGGATGTGCTTGTGGGGAAAAATAAAAACGCAGAGATCCTTATATATTTATGTTAAAGTAATATTTTATTATCTACATAAAACAGAAATGCACAATACCTTCATAGTTTCTTCTAATTATTGAAATATCGTTATTTTATTTTTAAAGATAGCACAGATTTGCATAGTTCTTAAGATCTGGAGGGAGAAAACCCCAGTACTTATACTGAGCTGAGTTCTGTGTAAAAGCACCGCCGTTCCTTTCTATTTCGTGGAATTTTTCGAATAAATTTGATGCGTATACCGAGAGGTTCCACGCTTATAACTTTCAGAGTCTTGAAGGAGAGCCTCGGGAGCTGTGTTCATTGTGTCTCTCCGCAGATGAACCACTGCCGTGTGTTTTGGAGCATTGATTTCTGTGCGGGTAGGGCTGTCCTGCCTTTGATGCTGGTGAGGAGATCTGCTCCTCAAGTTTGTTGCATGTTCTCTCGGAAGGCATGGGGGAGAAGAGATTCGAGTCTTCTCGGTCCCTTTTTATAATTTAACATCTGACTTCTTAAAAAAAAAAAAAAAAAAAAAGAGAGAGAGAGAGAGAGAGAAAGAAAGAAAGAAAAAAAGCAAAACAAAAAGGCGGGGCTTAATGATGGGAGTACCGTTTTAGAAGGAAGAACGCGGCTGCCCAGCGGGGCTGAGCACCCCCGGGCCGGGCCCCGGGCCCCGCGGCCATGGCCCCGCTTTCACGTTAGGTGCGGCTCCGTGCGGTGACGAGCGGGTCGGTTTTCCCGGAGGGGTCCCGGCTGGGGACCCGCGGGGCTGGCGCTGGCAAGCGACATCCGAGTGCGCAGTGTTCGCACGCCCGGCGGTGTGTTCAGGTCCTTTTTGGCTGCCTCGGTTTCCTAAGTGCGATATCCTGCTCTTCTCCCACCCCTCCCTTCCTTCACGATAGTTTCTAGGCTTATTAGATTTAATCATCTTTTCTAACTTCTAGTCAATATTACACTCATCCCGAACAGATTCAGCTAAATGATCTTATCAATAGTTTCGAAGAGAAGTGACAGAAAGAAGAAGTGTTTTGTGACCGCAGACGTGCTGACGGGTAAAATGTTGAAGCTGGGTATGGATTTAAAAGTCCTTGGTCAATAGCCCGCGGAACGGGCTGCGGAAAGCGAGCAGCCTCTGCCCTCTGCAGGACACTCGGGTGGGCGCCCAGGGAATATTTCGCCTTTAGCGACAGGGCCCCGCTGTCGGGGAGCGCTCCGGTGTCGGGTGGGCAGGAGGTGACTCGGATGGACGGAGCCTCGCTCGGCGGGGCAGGCCCGGCTCCGCGGGGACGGCCGGCTCAGCCGGGGGCGGGCTGGCGCGGCCGGCCGCTGTTCGGGGCCGGGCCGTCCCCGGCCGAGGTCCCGAGGCTGCTCCTCCGGGGATCTTTGCCCAGCGAGAGCCTGACCTTACGGGAGCGGCTTCGCTCATCCTTCTGGACGTGTTGTGGGGAAGCCAGCCGGTTCGGGGGTCATTCTTTTTGTCTTCTTCGATCTCTCTTTTAAGGGAAGGGAGAGGGGGAAATGGAGCAGTTATAGGATGCTCCTTTCTGCAGGTGGATGTCAGAGTGCGCGGCAGCTCTTTGGGCTCCATCGCTCTCATTTCCAACAGGGACACTCTGTCGTAGGTCAGATGTCAGCAACAAAAGCCCTGTTTGCTCGGTTCGCTCTCTCTCTGGTGGAGGCCGAAACTGGAAGACGAGAGGATGCTGTATATCCTTAAGTCTGTCAGTCCTGATTGTCACCCCCAGTGTCTCCAGCCCCGCAGGGGCGAGAGGCAGTAGTCGGTGCTGTCCGACCGGGGCAGCTCCCACCGCCGCCCAGCTGCGCCGTCTCTCTTGAGAGTGGACAGTGGGGGCCGGGGTTTGGAAAGAGAGAAGCGGAGGAAGGGGAAATAATCCTACAAATTCCCCAGGCTGCGGGGCAGACCGGGATGGTGTCTGGCCAGGTGTTACTCTCGGG